TTGAGGTCTTGGGGAGCCTGCAGCTGAGATGTAAACGCTTCTGAGAAGTGAGAGGCACAGCAATAAGCAGCCCAGTTGCTTTTTTCCTTCTTTTGATCTCCCTATGCTAGCCCTCCGTATGCAGGGAGCTGCAAACACCTGCCAGGTAGAGTCTGTGCCAGCTCCCGGTGGTGGGGTGAGCAGCTCAATAACGTGGTTGAAAATGAGCATCTCCCCAGGGCGGTGGGCAAGAAGGATCGGTCACCTCCTGGGGGCTTGGGCAGCCCTGCTTTTCTGTGAAAAACTCGATGTGGCATAAGGGGTGCAGAGGGATGTCCCCGTTATTTGCATTCAGGACGGGGGATGCCCCAAGCACAGCTCCCCACACTTCATCTCGCTTGTGGCCCTGCAGCCCGTGCCAGGAGACGGGAATTTCTCTCCCTTTCCCTGTGCAGCACCACTGAGGTTTCTATTTTCCCCCGGACTCCATCTAGCGGGAAAGTCCCGAGTCCACTGCAAACATCGCACCTGCAGAACTTTGCAGGGAAATGCAGCCATTCTGGAAAAGCAGAAATCCGGCCAGGCGCATCCCGCAACAGGCAAGGAGTGAGGGCTTCGAGGCTGCGGTGGGAGGTGATGGGCTGCCCTTCTGCCGCCCCATGCAAATCCCACCTGCCCTGGCCCCCAGAGGCTGTTTGGGAAAGGCTTGGTGCTCTTGAGCAGCAGTGGCACCCAAGCCCTTGGGTGAGCAGCTGAGCTTAGAAATGAGGGACTGTTTCCACCCCTCATCATGCACTGATTTTCCAAGAGGGACCAAATTTCCCATCTATGCCATTTAAACAGCATCTTGCTGTGGCATGGGGGAAGAGAAAAAGCAATCAATAAAATATTTGCATTCAAAAAGAAACACGGGCAAGTGCCAAGGCAGCTCTACAGTAGCAGTAGCGGTGGCTGAGGGGTGTCCAGGTGGTAAGGAGGCATTTCCAGAACATCTGGAATGAAAAGCATGGGCAGTCAGGTAATGCCTGACTGTCACACAGTGATGGGAAATCCAGAAACAGGAGTGACAACCCAGAAAGCTTAACCTGCCCTCTGCCATCAACAAAATAATGGAGTGATTAATTCACAATTTAGAGATTAAACATATAAATAATACCTATAAATATGGTTTCCTGGAAAGTCACCTTGCCAGACTTCTAGCTTTGGATCAGACTACGAGTCTGACCTATTTGGTGTACAAAAATTTGTAAGTTGTTGGGTTTAGAGCTATACCACGATTAAAAAAGTAATCCTTGGTGTTATCTGGAGTCAACAGGGCATGTATTAGCTGGCTTCAGGTAGGACTCCGTGGCAGACCAGCCTTGGGGTTGGCTGTGACCTAGCAGGTGAGAGAAGCTCTGAAATTGTGTGGAAGGACCTTGGGAAGGACCTACCAAAAACACAGCCAAGATGCTGTTTAATACCCCCCCCACCCCCCCTCCCTTCTGCGATTACTTACAAAGACTTTCTCAAAATCCCCAGGCAGCTCATCCCAGGAGGTTTGCAGCAATTAGCTCCTGCTATCAAAGAGAGCCTTCCCAGTGCGAACGGAAGAGCAGATGGGGCAGGGGGTCCTACCTGTAAACCCTTTCATTAAAAAGGCATGAGACCCTGCTGCAGCCTTTCAGCTTGCCTGGGGAGAGAGGTACCCACGGCGAGGTCCCCGCTTTCACATGCATACGGAAAAAGGCCACAGCTAAATGCCACTGCATTTGCATAGCACTATTTTTTTTCCTAAGTTCTCAGCATTTTTGGGAGGAAGCAGCTGCAAGCACTTGGCTTTGATTTTAAGCATTAGAGTAGGGGTCTTCACCAGGCTATGGATGTGGGGGTGTCTTGTCTGCCTGGCTTTGCTTGGTTTTAGCCCCCAAGCCACGAAAAGAGGAGCTCCTGCAGTCTGATCCTGTGTGAGGAGCCCCAAACCAATTTGTCCAACACCCCAGTCTGGGTGTTTCGGTGATTGTAGAGGTGGGCCAAATCCCCCTCTCCCAGTGTGAAGCTCCGCAGCTCTGCAGGCAGGGAGGGTGCTGTGAGGGCAGGAGCCGCAAGTTGTGGTGCCCTGATTTACCCCAAGGTGAAAGGGAAGCGATTCCTGAGGCCCTGCTCACTGGTTAGTAGGGAGTCACAGTGGCTCGGGGCATCTGTCACCTCCCTGGGGGAAGAGACCTGCAGAACTCACCCAAGGACGAGCCAAATGAGGTTTGGGGCCAGTAAATATTCGTGGCTACAGCCCCCAGAGCACTGTGCTCTGTTCTGTGCCATATTGGGGTGTCCTGCCCAATCCTCTACTCTCTCATTTTCCAAGCACTTAAATGGAGGGGAGGCTGTTTTACCTCCTCTAAAGGGTCACCCTGAACCCAAAAATGCGGTCCCAGCCACCACAAGCCATACGGGATGCTCCCGTGGCTGTTCTGCTCTGGCTGTCTGGGATGCTGAACTGTGTCCTGCGCATCACTGATGGAAAGCGGAGTGACGACGGCTGGGTCGTGGGGTGTTTATTGCCCCGGCTGGGATTGCGGCACAGCAGCCTCGGCAACAGCCCGGCTCTCGGGGCGGTGGGACATAAGCACACACTGAAATCACAGCTCTTTTCCCGAGTGGGGGCCCGTCAGCCCTTCGTGCATCCGTGCGCTAAGGACGAGCAGAGCAGAGCGCCTGGGGAGGGTCGGAGCGTCCCCGGCGGGAGCTCCAAAGCCCCGGCCCCGCTCCCGCCGGGTCTTGGTACGTGGTTTGTCTCATTCGAAGAGGCTGGAGGTGCCCCAGGAGGCTGAGCAACAGGCGAGCGGGCAGGGCCGGACGGTGCCG